TGTGTGAGAGAGACCGTGTGAGTGTGTGTGCAAGAGACATAGACAGTGTGAGTGTGAGAGAGACAGAAGGTGTGAGTGTGTGTGAGAGAGACAGACAGTGAGTGTGTGTGAGAGAGACAGATTGAATGTGTATGTGTGTGTGAGAGAGAGAGACAGACAGACAGACAGCGTGATTATGTGTGAGAGAGACAGTGTTAGTATGTATAAGAGAGACAGTGTGAGTGTGCATGTGAGAGCCAGACAGTGTGAGTGTGTTTGTAAGAGACTGACAGCGAGTGTGTGAGAGAGAGACAGTGTGAGTGTGTGTGTGAGAGTGTGTGAGGGAGCCAGACAGTGTGTGTGTGAGAGAGACAGACAGTGTGAGCATGTGTGAGAAGACAGTCAGTGTGAGTGTGAATGTGAATGTGAGTGTGTGTGAGTCAGAGGGGCAGATAGTGAGTGTGCATGAGACCATTCTAGGGCAGGTGTGTGAATGTAAGTGTGAGAATGTGTGTGAGTGTGCATGCTGTGAGAGAGATTGCATGTAAGTGAGTTAATGCAAGAAAGTGTGAGCGAGTGTGACAGTGCATGTGGGTATGTATCTGTAAGTGTGCAATGAATTATCCGCAGACTCTGGGGCTGGTTATTCAGCGACCCGATTAGGAAGCACAATTCTGAGGGTTTTAGTTTGACTGTGTTGTGAATACAGAGGTAGGAATGCTGGTTTGACTGTGTCATAACACAACTACACAAACATTAATACATGGGTGAGTCTGGATGCGAGGGTGTGATTTAGAGACATTATGAAAATACAAGAGTCTCTCTGTATGACTGTGTGTATGTGTGGAATCCTCATCTGTAATTCCCCAACTCTCTCTATCATCCCCACACTGACTCTCCCCGTCATCTTCACTCTCTCTCTGGGAATCGCTCAGTTTCTGTGATGCTGGGAGCCGGCTGATTTTCACCCACTGCCTGTGCAGTGTCATGAGATGGCCAGCAGGGGGTGGAATTGCACCACATTAAACATAACAGACAGACAGAGTTTTGGATCAGAGATAGTAGGAACTGCAGATGCTGGAGAATCCGAGACAACAAGGTGCGAGGCTGGATGAACACAGCAGGCCAAGCAGCATCATAGGAGCAGAGAGGCTGACGTTTCGGGTTGAGACCCTTCTTCAGAAATGGGGGAGGGGAAGGGGATTCTGAAATAAATAGGGAGAGAGTGGGAGGCGGATAGAAGAGGGATAGAGGAGAGGATAGGTGGAGAGGAAACAAACAGGTCGAAGAGGCGGGGATGGAGCCAGTAAAGGTGAGTGTAGGTAGGGAGTTAGGAAGGGGATAGGTCAGTCCAGGGAGGACGGACAGGTCAAGGGGGCGGGATGAGGTTGGTCGGTAGGAGATGGAGGTGCGGCTTGAGGTGGGAGGAGGGGATAGGTGGGAGGAAGAACAGGTTAGGGAGGCAGGGACGAGCTGGACTGGTTTTGGGATGCGGTAGTGGGGAGGGGAGATTTTGAAACTTGTGAAGTCCACATTGATACCATTGGGCTGCAGGGTTCCCAAGCGGAATATGAGTTGCTGTTCCTGCAACCTTCGGGTGGCATCGTTGTGGCACTGCAGGAGGCCCAGGATGGACATGTCGTCTGAGGAATGGGAGGGGGAGTTGAAATGGTTCGCGACTGGGAGGTGCAGTTGTTT